CACGCTATGTGAAAGGGAAGAAGGATGTATGTGGTTTTATGTTTTTTTGTTTGTTCTTGTTTAAAAATAAAAATTTTAAAAAGAAAAGAAAACAGCTAAGCTCAGAGACCCCCAAGGACCCCCCCCCCCCAAACACATTTCAACCCTGAGCTTCAAAGATTCTCTTTTATGGGTCCCTTCAGAGCATCTTTACTGCTCACCTGTGAAGTTGTAAAGCTACATCTCTATGCTCTAAAACATCCGTGGCTTTTTCTGGGAAGGGTAACCCATGACTGGTCAGAGGGTCAAACCCACCATAAATATTGGGGGGCGGGGGGGAGGGCTGTCACACTAACAGAAGGGAATTATTTGCCCCCTGCAAACCCTCCCTGCAGGAGCCCCCAGGAACCTCCTTCCCTCAATGGGCCCGGGGGAGGAAGACAGGGATTCTCAGCAAAGGGGGGCTCCCCATGTGGGCCCCTCCTGAGGAGTAGAGCTCAGCCAGTCGCCATGCCTACCTCATGAAGGCAGGTGTACTGGACGTGATAAGGAGCCACCTTCTCTTCGCCTTTGATCTCCACGCTGATCTGCAGCCGAATGGCGCCCGAGACGGCCGATTTGTCTGTCCGCTTTTCTAGAAGAAAGAACCCCCCCCCCACGTTCTCATCCCTGCCAGCCAGGGGCCCCCAGCACCCAAGACTGATGGCAGGCCCGCCTGGCCACTCCCTGCCCCACTTCAGAGAGATCAGGCTGGCTCTGCAGACCTGTTGGCAGCCGGTGGCCCGTGGGCTCCAGGTCCCCTGTCTGCCCTGGGGCAAGAGGGGTGGGAAGATGTGGCTGGCCACAAGGAGGGTGTTATGCCCTTGTGGCCTCGTTGGCACGAGGCAAGAGGGGGTCCCGCAGGAATGGCAACTCCAACCCCCTCCTCCCGTTTCCTCTCCTGGCTTTGCCCTGGGAGGGCTGGCACAGGACCATGGAGCCCACCAGGCTTAAAATTGCCACATCTGGGGATCCCCGGGCTATGGGGACCTAAGGGGGGGGGGTCTGGCCTCTGCTGCTTCCTCCCCCGGAGGGTCCCAAGGTTGCCAGCCTCTTTCCTCCACCCCCTACTCTGGCTGGAGATTCCACTACAACTGGTTTGCAAGGGGCCATTCTGGGCCCCCATTCTCCAGGGCCCAAGTAGTGTTCACCCTCCCCTCTTTTCCCCTGGAAACCTTTTCGCTGCTTTTCCCAGACTCCCATCCCGAGGCCTTGGAGGGCAAGGAGTTCTTGGTTGAGTTGGGGGGGGGGGCATCTTCACCATCCCAGCACTGGACCTGCCTCTTCCGATGCCCCAAAGTCCCCCCCCCCAAGGCCAAGGACCTCCCAGCTGCCTCCGTGGAAGCTCACCGGCTCTCCCCAGTCCCCACCCGGACGCCAAGGGATCCTCCCGTGCCCTTCTGCCAAGCTCCTTGGCTGCCCCTCCCCCCAGCACCTGCAGAGAGGCTCACCCAGGTTGTACCAGACGTCCATCTCTCCGCTCAGCGTCCGGACTTCAATGATGGTCTGGCCCAAAAAGTCGTCCGATTCCCTCTTCAGCCGCTGCTTCACCCGGGACTTGATGTCGTCGTCTTCGTCCCAGACGCGCACTTTGATCCGATCGGAGGAGTTGTGGCACTCACTGCAGGGGGCGAGGGGGGGGGGGGACGGGACAGCAAGCTCTGTGCTCTTTCCTGCCCAGGTCCCAAGGCAGCCCCCCCCCCCGGCAGCACAGCCCCCAAACAATCCAGGTCCCTCCGGGCTCA